CATATATATTAAATATTTAAGATTTATTAAAAAATTTTACTTTAATAGAGAACTAATCGTCATAATTTGTTTTTTAAATCTATTTCAAAATCAGGAATATCAAAGTCTTCTCTCAAGTTAATTAATAGGTCAGAATATGTATTAAAATTATCTTTATTACTTCTGAACCAAATCAAAGCAGAATCCTCTAAGAGGTCTGAAAATGAAGTTAGCATACGAGATTGCGGAATCTCGCGGGCGTGTCTAATTTCTTCCAATCTTTCTATAAAATTTCTAACGCAAGTAGAACCATCATATTTTAAGTTAAATGAGTTTAAATTAATGCGTCTATCTTTAATTAAGTACACCTTCCTCCTTTCGTTCATCTCTCTCGTTATCTCACACTCGGGAGTTGCCTCTTTACTACTTAATTCGTCTGAACTACTTTCATCTTCCTGTTCTACTTGAGCTAAGATACGTATGAGCCTGTGGCGCAAATCCACAAGAGAAGCTTTGTCAACCTCCAATCGAGCAAGTCTATCGATTAGATAATTAGCCCTAACTGACACACGTAAGTGAAGATTACTGTCCTTTCCGAGGTCACCTGATGACAGCAGATCCTCGAGCTCAGCAATTTTCGGCGTACATGCCTTGAGCTCGCTTGCCGGGAGTGGTGTGATCACTGGAGCACACTTGATGCTGCCACGTCTCTTCAGCTTAAAAATTTGGCGAAGCTGCTTTCTCAGTGCATCCACCGATGTGTCAGGAGCTGTGGAAATGCCAAGAATATCCAATTCATATATGATTTCATCCTTTCTTAAGTAGTTTACATATTTTTGTATAGAGAGCATTTTCTCAGATTTTTTTTTTAAGTTAAAGTCAGTTATTTCTGTTACTAAGTTAATTATTAAGTTAATTATTAAATTACGTTTAATCAAGTTTTTAAATCAAGCTACTTATTCAAGTTATTTAATCTAAGGAAGTTAAATACAAAGGAATTTAAAAAATTTTTTTTTTTTTGAAGGAGGGTACTTTTATTATTACAAGTTTCAATTCTTAAAGACTATCTTGTTCACTGTTCAAGGTCAATTTTTTACGCATCCAATCAATACGAAAGTGTTATTGTAGTATAAGTTGATTAATTCTAATGTGCTAAGTTAATTAATGCTAGTGTGTTTATTAAAGTTTTCTAAGTTATTAAGTAATTTACTTCTAATGTGCTATTCAGACTGATTGGGGATGAATATTAAAGATTTTTAAGTTAATTTTTTTTTTTTTTGATTAGATGTTAAATTCTAGTGTGCCGTTCAGACTGATTGGGGATTTAAGCATTTATTTTTCCGCCAACCTTTTTATCATCATATCAGCACACCAGTATTTCCCTCAAATACAGTATTTTATTGCTCGGCCCTAAAGTTGGTCGCCATTTTGTAACAATTTTAGTTACCACCGACTATTTCAGGGCTTACATGAGACTCGAAACTTATTTAATTTAAAATCAGGGCGCCGTGATACTGTGATTTGAGGGAGATAAATGAAAATGTCTAAAACCGCAGTGAACAAGATATTATATTGTTAAAAAGATTCAGATCTTATCTCATCATGGTTAAAACTTAATACTAGTCACATTCAAGTTAAAAATACATAGTTATATTTCTTCAAAGATTTTTCTTTTGATTTAAAGATATTTATACATTCAAGATCATGTGCTAATACAGTAATACTCAATTTAAGTTTCTTATATACACAAATTATTAAACAAGTTATAAAATACTAAGTTTTAAAAATTTAACAATAAAAATTTGTTATGTACTTATAATGGCTTTACAGTTTACCAATAGAAATCCTTTATCACGTAAAACAGAAATTGTTCTCCGGAGTATGCACTGGTTAAATATCAAGAAGTTATAAGTTTTACTTAGCTTGGCAAGATCATGGGAGCATCAGGATCACTCAAATGTCCTCAGGGATGAAGCAGGACTTGCTGTCATCACGTGAACACGTCACCTTTTTGCTCAAGGAAGCTTCACAGGCTCATATATATATATATTTCCAAGGAGATTCCAATCAGGATCAAGTAAATGTGACTATTACTGTTATTTATTAGCCAAATTAATGGACCTAGAACCAATTACATATTTTTCTATAATTCAATAAAAAAACTAACTGGACCTACAGCCTAACGAATCAAATGCATTGAACTTACCCGTTAATCCGGGGAGAAATATCAAGTATATGATGCACTGACTACCACTGCTAGTCTTAATGCTATTTTCTAAGTATGGTCTTCAAGGTTCTATCAGCCAAAAGAGAGCGAATCTGTTTGTGCACTGCTATTTATAGGCTACTACAACACGTGACAGCGTCATTGCAAATTTCTCTCATATCACCATATTTGGTATGAGGAAGCACACGGACCGGTTTTGCTGACTCCGCCTTTCAATGTTTCCAGAACATTAATGTGGCGTCACATCCATTTCCGCATCTCATTAAAAAATTACACACTAGCTCCCTCTAACTTACATTCCAAATGCAACTACTAGGTTCACACATATATTGTACTTGTCCTTTGCTTTTCAAAGTGGATTTCGATATTGAATAATTTATATGCATGATGATAGATGGCGCTGAATAAATAATAATATTTCTACGACTTAATATTTAAGAATTATATTGCTAAGTTTTTAACGTTATTAAATTTAATTGCTACAAGCTATCTAACGATAATGACAAAGAAATAAACTATTAACAACCACAGATATAAAAGACGATATCTAAATAAATACATATTGCAGAACATCACATACATAGCTGATATTCAAAACTAAGATAAAAATACTTTTGTATTAAGGAAATGAAGAAAAAATGACGATACAACAATCAGCTAGACGTGCGAAAATAATTAAAAGAAAATAAAAAAATAATGATTTTATAAGTTGACCCGACCGGGGATCGAATCCGGGACCCTGCGAGATTGCGACGATATACATAATAAAGTACAACGAGATCTAGCGTGTTGCAACGCGCCAACGGACCGCCACAAGCTTCCAAGTAAATAGCACGCTATTAAAATAGCGTATTTATTAGCGCGCTATTTAAAAGAAGCATATAGTTTGCAGCACGCTATTGCTTTATAGCGACTTTGAAGACCTCTAGCTGTGATGCCATCTGCGGATGCGTCCGCCGTCGTGTAGAGGGGGCATAACACGTAAGATAAATATAGTTCTGCCTTAATCATGGAGGTTGGAGAGAAGGAGAACGATCGCTGTAGAAAATAGTGTCCCAGAAATATGGACAAAATAAGTGAGGCGCTGCGATCGCTAAGTTGTCTCAATAAGAGCGCTTATTTGAAATGACCAATGCCGCGAAGAAAATTTGTACGTTATTCTACTTGTACTCATAACTTCACAGATACTACTTACACTGAAAAATGAACTATAAAATCTACAAATTTTCAGGGTCAGGCGGGCTAATGCTTTACTACGTACGGATCGTTCTCCTTCTCCTACCTAGGCGGTCACCGCGTACGTCCATAATCGCACCTCTGGGCTCTGAATAAAGTCCTCTACACACTATCCACTTTGCTGGATCTAGCATGTGAGATGGAGATACAAGTAGTTTTCCAATTACAGCACTAGAGCGCATTATGCAGCATAATGCTTAGCGTTGAATGTTTCAACTACAGCAATGCTTCACACAATCAAGCACTCTCAAAAGTAATGTTTTCGTGTGATGGGTGCAATCGATACCATCTCAGTGACAGAAAATTATCAAGTGTTTTGTCTGTAAGTTGGCATTGATCGAAATGTTTATTGAAGTAAAACTTCTTTATCGGCGTTGGAAAAAAATTTACCGTCACATTTTTCGGTTACGCGTTACATTTTTCCGTTACGCGCCATCTTTTTTTATATTAATAGTTGATAGCTGAATGATCACACTGTCGCCGGCGAGAACTCTCTCTACTCGTTTGTAGCTGAGTGACAATAGTTATTAAAGATAAGACTCGCTCAGCCAAACTCGCATAGCGATACTCGCTCAGCGATACTCGCTCAGCTATACTCGCTCGGTTAAGCTGGCTTGGCTGTCAAAAGCCGTGCGCGTGCATTTTAACTCAGGACTGCCAATTCGTTTCTAGTTTCTACTCGCTTATCGTTCATCGTCGGAGGTGGAACATGTGCCTTAGATTACTGAGCCGTGTAATCATAACAGTTTCATAGGCAGTAATTTGTAATTTGTATTCATGTCTATGATAATAAAATCCTTTTGTTTAAACTTTATCTAATTTAACTTTATTTAACCAATTTCTGGAAAGTTGCATGTAGATCATTTTTCGAAAAATAAGGCCATAAAGAAGTTTCACTTCTTACGTGTGTACACTAGTACACGCACACATTTTATTTATATATTATTAGTAGTATTATAAATCGTTGAAATTTTTTTAAAGCTTTCGTTTTATTGTAGCTTTTTTTAAATAATCAAAGTAAATTCAAACTGTGTTAAAAAAAATATATAAATATGGATGAAGGTACTAACATTGACTTTTTTTTATATTCCACATTTAAAATGTGAATACAAACAAATTTATTTTACAGGAATTGAATTTTTTTTACACATTAATGAGGTTATTGTTAACTCTATGAATATATTTTTTTCTCATCAAATGCATCAGCACTGTGCTGATGCATTTGAAAACTAAGTAATTCACGTTCCAATTAAGCATCAGCATAATTCGGCATTGTGCACCACTGAATCGCATTATGCTCTGTAATTGGAAAACTACCACAGGATCTCTTTGTTTACGTTTATAGCACTATCCCGTGTGCTGGATTCAGGAACATGGTGTTTAGGCGGGAATTCATGGCAGGCCACCTTGCCATTCACTGAATGTTGTTACAGCGGCCTGCATGGCGTCCAGCATCACCGAGCTTCTATTACGTTCCGATCTACGCTCTTCATTTTGACATTCCATACCAACAATGACATTATAATTAAAGTACGAAACGTGATCCTAATAAAATTATAAGGATATAAAAAAGTTGTTATTTTTATTGTGTTTGTTGTGAATTTTGAAGGTAGCTTTTGTAAAACATAGCTGAATTCTTAAACCAGTTTTTTACTTGTCGATGTAGCTTTAGCGGATACTGAATTAATTCCTAATTTAAAATTAAAATTTACTATTCTTTTCTTAGCTATGTCTTTAGAAGCTAGCAACAGCAGCGGCGGAGGTGGTTCCCAAGTGGCTCTCGTTACTGGGGGCTACGACCACACCATCAAGCTGTGGCAAGCACACAGTGGTGTATGTCTACGAACCATGCAGCACCCTGATTCTGTAATTATTACATGCTTTATTTTTTCTATATTACTACTTTTCTTACAACTATACTATTCGGAACTTACTAATAAAAACTACAACCCTTCTCACCCCAGGATGAAAGTATAAATATCACTGATAAACTTAGTAGTAAAAATATTGTAGTTGTTCTGGTATAATAAATCAAAAAATACTTACCACTTGCAATGTGCTTACATTACAGCAAGTAAATGCTTTGGAAATCACCCCTAGTGGTCAAATGGTAGCTGCTTGTGGATACCAACACATCCGCATGTATGATTTACAAAGTGCCAACCCCGATCCAGTGATGAACTTTGAGGGCGTCACTAAAAATGTTTCCAGAGTTGGTTTTCATGTAAGTAAATTCTTTATGTAAGTATACAGTTTTCATTTATGTGAAACTGTATTCTGAGTTTTATTTTATTAAAGCGATTATATTATTTCTACAGGAAGACGGAAAGTGGATGTACACGGGTGGTGAGGACTGTACAGCCAGAATATGGGACCCTAGGTAATTTAATGTTGGGTTTAAGTAGCGGAAAATTTCTTGAGCAGAACCACAGACAATTATACTTGCACAAACTTCCTTGCATATGTTCAATACTCAAAAAGTTTTCTGGGGTGTATAATTGAGTTATATTTTATTTAAATAAGAAGTTGAGTTTGTATTATGTCTCACAATTAATTATAAACAGGGTAGTTGATAATTATTTGTATTAATGTTAAATAATTTGAATTGCAGTCAAATCTGATAATTTATATTAAATTAAATTATTTAACTAAAGTTACTTAAACATTATTGTTCTACTATAGAGCTGGTCGGCAATTACAATGCCAGAGGATATTTCAAGTGCCAGCACCAGTGAATGCGGTTGTGCTACATCCTGACCAGACCCAGATCATGGTCGGAGACCAGAGTGGCATCATCCATGTATGGGATCTTAGGACTGACAAGAACGATCAATTGGTAAAGATTTCAAATATTAAAATTGTAGGAAGGCCAAAGGGGAAGATCTTCCTCCGAGCTGGGTGATGTTAGCTCGGGGGTCGCGGCCCGACTGATATTGGTCGGGCATCGTATATATGGAGTGTTTGGTTCCGAATTTTACTTGCGCGATGTAGGCTTCCATACGTTCTGAACGCAGCGCCGGTAGCGCCATCTCTTAAGGAGGCGAGTAACTATTTCCTCTATGTTCATTATATCACACATCAAGTCAGTGCGTCAGTCGAGCTCTCCTGCAGTGTAGGAAGGCCAAAGTGGAAGATCTTCCTCCGAGCTGGGTGATGTTAGCTCGGGGGCCGCGGCCCGACTGATGTTGGTCGGGCATCATATATATTTCATCATAGAGTTAGCCTCCGAATTTCATTTGCGCGATGTAGGCTTCCATACTAATATTGATCGCAGTGCAGGTAATGCCATCTCTTGAGGATGGTGAGTAATGATTAATAATAATAATGATTATTAATTATTGCATAAAAATATGGTATAAAAGGTGTTTGATTAATTCTCATGTCTCACATATTTTACTGTTAAACAGCATGCAACAGTTTTTTAAATCAAGTTAAAATTAAAGAGTAATGTTAACCTTATCAGTATCATGCCAAGATCATTTTGTTATCAATATTATACAATGTCAAATAAATATAAAATTATTCATCAAAATGTAAAAAAATAGATGTCCAGTGTTCAAAATCCAATAATCATACAATGGTGTTGATTCATACTAAAATTAATAATCAAAATGTTAAATAATAAATGTCTAATATTTGCTTTCAGGCTTTCCTACATCCGTTGTATTATCTGTGGGGCATATAGATGTCGCCGCCACAAAATTATTTCTATATTTATTAATGAAAACTTATTAACTATATTTGCTTTTATAGTACTTATACCTATATAGTTATAAAAAACAGTGTCTTAAGAAATAGTTGAACATAATCTCTTGATAACTTTGTTATCTGCTAACAAACTATAATCTTTACATTTTGCTTCAGTCTGATGGAATCACTCTTGAAATTTAATACTGCTGCTGCATTATGATCAAATCAAATACTTACATAATTTATTCATTTAATCTAGGTAGACCAACAGCTAATATAAATTATTAAGTTCCATAAAAATAGCAGTAAGCCATTTATAGGGTCCCATCCTCACCATTAACAATATAAACGATAGTAATTTGCAAAGCAGAGTATGAATTTTTAGGTAGTGCAAAAAACCTTAAAGATTAGTTAGCATACTACATAAATACCAGCATAACTTCAATAAATACTTTGAAACTAATTGGAATGATGCTGGCATGTAAGCTGCTCTCAAACATTGGAAAAACAGAATTAATCGAAAGGCTAATACTCAAAAAAGTTCCTACTCAGTAATTTGCACTCTGTTGTTATGCAAGTACCAAAGTTGAGGTCATAAACATTACAAACATAACAATTGTTACTAGAACTCCATATAAATTCGTTTTGCCTCTAGTTAGTATGTGTCAGTCAGTGACTTGTGAATATGTTTTGGTATTAAACTCGAATCATTGTTAAATCCACGGTGTTATGACTTTGGCTCAACCTATTCACTGTGCCATGCAGGTGTTAATTTAATTTTTGGATATGTATGTGGTTAAAATGAAAAAGCACAAAGTTTTCAGAATTCACATAGCACCTAAGAACCGGTGACGTAGCTGTAATATTAATAGGTTGATGAAGATGAAGAAAGAATTCCTATATATTATTTTTTGTAGTCAGTTTTTAAAGCATGTATTAGCTCTCTTCGCATCTAGACTACATTGTCACTTAACATCAGAAGGGATGGATCATTGGTTGGAAGTTAATATTAAGAGAAATGACATGGTTGGGAGCAGATACCAGAGGCTGAGGCCATATCCCTTGCGCCTGCGGGCAAGCTGATAGCCGTGATGTGGCGTCATTTAGCGTGTTCTGTCAGCTATACCACTGCTAGTATTCTTAGGAGTTATATTGCTTTATTCCAACTGCCTTTTCTCTTCAGAGGACTACGCGCGCTGTTCTACGTCGTCACCAAATTACTGTGGCTACTATGTGACTCATTTCTTTATTGCACAATCCGCAAATGGAATGCTTTCCCCATTCCTTCCTCCTACAATCCAGGGTCTTTTAAAAGAGGCGTGACGAAGCAGCTTGCACTCCTGAAACTCTTGTCTCTTCAAGGCGGAATTACACTTGGTCGATAGCTCGAATATGAGTGCTTATAGAATTCAAAAAAACGACTAAGTTTTAATGAACGGAGTCTAGGACTCCCGTATTCGTTTTGGTTCGTCCCAATCTGGCTTCATTGAGGCACTACCAACTAGAACGCGGGTGCTGGGACATTTGTCCGTGTTCCAGTGTCTCAACGAGAGTAAAACAATGTAATTATCGCATCAGGTGCTAGAAATCGAGTAATGTCTTTCGCGTACCCGAATACGGGCTAACGATCTAGTGTAGTTGCGCCTATGAAATGACCACCATCATTTAATATCAGACAGGGTGGAGTCATTTGTCGGGCCTTAATATTAAGAGAAATTACATCTGGTCCCAAACCAGATACCAGAGGCTGAGGCGTCCATCCAGGACATAGCCATCGCGCCTGAGGGCAAACTGATGGCGGCCGTGAACAACAAGGGCAACTGCTACGTGTGGACGCTGGACGGGACGCCGCCGCGCCCCGTGCCGCGCCGCCAGCTGCTCGCGCACAACAAGTACGCGCTCCGCTGTAAATTCAGCCACGACTCCACGTAAGTCATGTTGACATTTATGAATTTTGTTTTTTTAAACTTTATTGCCACAATAGAGATGACAAACGATTTTTTTTCTAAAAATGCCAAAGTAATTACAAAAAATTACACAAATATTTTAATTGTATTTGTACTTTTTTTCTATTTTTAAAATGGCTGTTAAATTTAAGTTTATTAAAGTATGCATTTTCGAACGACATTATTTTATAACGCGGACGGCCCGCGCGCATGCAATGACATTACTCGTCGTGACGCGTCCCCAGGGCTAAGTTCAAAATTTACGCTCTAAAATAGAGAGATAGATCTATAGATGCAATTTAATTGTCAAAATTTAAACGTTAGGGTAAAGAATTGCACTTAGAGCGTAGGCACTGAGCGCACCCCCGAAGACAAGTGACGTAAGCGCAGGGAGCGCGAAATATCGGAAATTTAAAATAGGGCTTAAACTTCTCCCAGTCATAACTCCGTTAATACTGCAATGTATTCACATGAAATAAAAACTAAAATGACATACGTAGTCTATACTTTGATGTTAGATATATTTAATTGTAACATTTGGCCCTTTTGCGTTCTCCAATGCAATTGAAATTGACAAAAGGCGGACTTAAGGCTTAAAGCATTCTGTCTAAAAGGATAATAATAATAAAATACTTTATTGCAATTAACATGAGTATTACAATTTGTTTACCTACTTAAACAAGGGGTACTTATAAAACACAATCTTGCTTTCGCTCGCTACCGCAATACTGCTACGACACCACATGGCCCAACCAGAGTAAGACGTAGGAAAGTGAGGATTTAATAGTTCGTTATACGGGTCAAAACAGCATTGCGGCTCAGAACGAACGATACAAGGACCACTGAAACTTCGAACTTAAATATTTTAACAAACTTAAAAGTAATTAAGTACCTATGTTTTTTTTATTTTTTTATAGCGAGGTAAGCAAATGACTACCCCACCTGATGTTAGATGGTGATAAAAAAAAACGGGCGAGCCTTATAGTAGTCGCGTATGATGTGTAACATTTGAAACAATTTCACCTTATATTAGTAAAAAAAAAACCTATTACAAAATGAATAAGTCATTTGAATAATATGTTCTAAAATCAAATTGCAGGAAAGCGAGAGGAAATATATTTACACATCAAAAATTAATAATCTCTTATCTATTAGACAAGTCCGTCCGTCCGTCTGTGGTGCTGTTTCAGCGGCCAAACCGTAAGAGATAGATAAAGAGAATATTTAAGTTATAAGTTAAGAATAGTCTGATAATACTACAAACCGGATTTGAGTAACGTAGCGCTTCCGGTTTTCGAGAAATCACGGATTTCCAACGAAACCACACAAAATCTCCGAAGTTCTCAATTAATTAAATACATTTTTTTTTTAAATCAGGTTTTGGTGAACATTTGGTTCACTGGTTTGCTAGTGTTCTTATAACTAGATTTTTATCGATAGTATACAATGTACTAGTACCTACCTAAACTAGGCCGAGCCTGTAATATAGGCACATGTTGTCTAAAAGGATGTGTGATATATGTGTCGTGTGGTCAGCATGCTAGTGACGACGTCGGGCGACTGCTCGGCCAAGCTGTGGCGCACCAGCGACTGGTCGTTGCTGCGCGAGCTGCGCCACGACACGCAGCGCTGGGTGTGGGATGCCGCCTTCAGCATTGATTCGCGCTACCTCTTCACCGGTATGTTATTTTAATTGGTGTTTTTTTTGTACGCAACAACACGACACAATTCACGCACGACTTAAGGTACTATTCCGTGCATCGAGATTGATCGCGGCCAACGACTGTCGTCGGTCGCTCGCGACAATAGTCAGAGTATGAAAATGTAAGGCACCGCTTCCGAGGCCCGCGACAGACGCTCACGGCCGTGTCTCAAAGTTAGTTGGTGTTGTTCGTCAGATCCCTCTAGTCGTGTGTCTACCGAAGTCAAAATCATGGTCGAAGTGCTAATGGACATTCTTGAAGAAGAAGAGGAGGATGACGATTGTAATCTCCATTACTCATATCGTATACTATTGGATTTTGAGACACAAAATTTATTAATATTTCGACTTCGAAAAGTTTTTTCCTGCGTTCCTAGACATGTTTGCGACATGAAATCCAAGATGTTACTGAACGCTGAGCATGTCTAGACACACACACGGCCGCGCGCGTCTGTCGCAGGCCTCGGAAGCGGTGACATACATTTTTATACTCTGGCTATTGTCGCGAGCGACCGACGACATTCGTAGGCCGCGCGCGGCCGCGATCGATCGCGATGCACGGAATAGTACCTTTATATTAACATTGTACCGAAATCTTTAATATCTCTGCGGGACCATGAATGTTGTCCAAATTATAAGTAGCTGTTCAAGATCATAGGTATGTGCTGTAAGCTTTTGAGCCACTCTCAGCCACTGCAAAAGATGTATCATAGAAAAATATTATTGTTCTAAATTAAATTTTACAAAGGGCCTGATTATGGCATAGTTTTTAAAACCAATTTTGCCAGCAGTCCCTTCGTTTTATTGTCTATAGAGCATGAAATGGATGTACTTATCCAGATGTCAAATTAAGTAAGAGTAGTTTGCTTTGCAAATCGTAAGTGGTCCGGATCCAGATTTAGGGGCCTCCACTCCTTCTTCCTTGCCCCAGGGCCTAATGCCTCACACCTCTAATTCCGGCCCTGTAGCTACGTCCGACTGACGTCAGCGCCGACCGTCGTCGCCTCGGTCGAACACTATGTAATTCCAGCCTAAGTATACGTTCTGAGTGACATCACACCGTGCCCGCGCATTAAACAAATACTTACCTTTAAACCGAACTGCGAGCGGGCGCGTATTATAGTATTTTCCTTCCACCGCTCCGCAATCCGCATACGCATTGCGCCGGCACTCAGGACTATACTATACTAATGCCTATTTCACACGAGCGCAGAACAGTGGGCAGGACAGTACTGCTACCGTTTGAACGCACGGAACAGGACAGAACAGTACTGTCTCGACAGTAACCAAGGCAGAACAGTTTATAGCTCGCAGGTCTATTTTTTCGGGGCAGCTGGCTCCCCCCACCACCTTTCTCGCTCGACTGTCTTGTAGCTAGACTCGTGTGAACGCGAGGACAGTGCAGTGCAGAGGGCAGGGCAGTGTGCGGGCGCGCGTCCCGACTTATTTTAAATTTGTTATTTTTTCTATAACTTGATTTGAACAACCAAGCTCTGGTCTTCTTGCTGTCCAGGGTCTGATCCAAAGTTTTTCTTTTCTATTTATTTCATTTTTTACAATTTCACTTAGCTCATCCAGAGCATATTGCAATTTTGAGCAACTGTCGTAAATGTTGCCGTTGTCGTCGTCGACGCTCCATCGCTAAGCAGACTCACTGCGCGGGCTGACTGTACTGTCCTACACATATTTGAACGCCACTGCCCTACCCAACTGTTCTGCCCTCATGTGAAACAGGCATTACTTACGTATTACGTACGTACTTTCGGACGCAGGTTCATCCGACAGTTACGCGCGACTCTGGGACGTCGAGAAAGGTACACTGGAGCGGGAGTACTGCGGCCACCAGAAGCCGATCACTGCACTCGCCTTCAAGGACCACGCGGTGTAAGCCGGGTGTTTACGACACTACTATGAGAGAGGTCTCGTCTCGGGCAATGGTTAAATCGCTCACGGAGCGATTTGCGCAGTAGGCACGCATTTTTGAAAAATGACTCAATTAATTCTTAAGTGCTTATAAGCCACTAAAAAAAACATAAAATTTTTATTCAGGCCCCCAGGTCTGCCGGCGCCCGCAGTTCGGCCAATTTAAACTACTCCCGTGTATCGTGAAATATGTTCCTTACAATTTCGCATTCTTTGCGAGTTGCAGTCGGTTGCGGGTGAAAATCGCTCAGTGATTTCTAGCCCATTAGTGCGTTGCGTTGCGTTGTTGCATTGGATCAACGGAAATTATAAGCCTACGTTGCGATGACGCATCAGTTTTTCAGTGTAGATTTCCGTAGACTTTGTACAATAGATCGGAACAAACCGTTAAACTGTCTCTTTTATTACGCGCCGAAACAAATCAAGAAATAATAAGGGATTCTGGATATCTCCTTTGTTTTAAATTAGTTTAGTTGTTTTAAGATGAAGATTTTTTTTTGCGCGACGCGTTGCACTTATGTGGCCTCTCTCTACATTATACACACAACACGACGCTGCCTCCATAGCTACATAGTGAGTAAGACGGAACTTTATACCTCGGAGTTAGTTTAAATTGGAATGTTTTATGTTAAGAGACTATTGACAATGTATGTTTGGTATTCTTAAATGTTTAATTTAAATATAACGTAGCTAATATACCTTTGAGAGTTCTTGACTTTACTGGAAGTTATATTCGAAATTGAGTACAATGACTGTATCGCATTATCTGTGTATACTTTAGGAGATGGATGAGAAGGTATCTGCATACCTCTAGGAGATGATTGAGAAGGTATCTGCAGACTTCACAGTATGCTCTGATTTATTTATTGTAAATATTTCGTAAAAGCAGCTTGCAGCATTTAAGATTTCAGAGAGAATTGTGACATTTCTAGTTAGCATTTGCCAAGGAATTTTAGCAGAATTCAATGACCCAGTCATCAAATTGCAATTCGCATGTGATCTCAAGCTTTATATCTGGCGACATAATACCTCCTCATTGGTCCATGTGACGGAATTCGACGATGCCATAATGTTCTTGAAATTCTCCGGCTAAATATCGCGAAAGTTAATACCTATGCATAAATATACCAAACTAACAATGGACTTTAATAACTTTACTGCCTTACCTTTTTTCATAATCTGATCAATGCAACCTTCGTGAACCCAGGTCCTCTTTCACCTCTAAATCCGGCCATGCAAACACACACATTATAGCATTGATGATTTTTGTCACATGTTAATTAAGTAATTGTGATTTGATATCTGTGAGAGTTATTATTTTATATACTTAGGCAATACATATTTTGGTGTTATATTCAGTGAAACCCAATCTGTACTCTTCTGTCTCAAACAGAGTCAAATTGCTAAGTTGTTATTGTAACGTTCAAATATTTTAAGCTACTAAATTGAAGAATATTTATTTTCAAACAAAACTGTTTTATTAATTTTCATTTTTTAAGCTTTATACTTATCAACTGCATTTATATACCCAGATCCATACTAGTCAAAATAAGTTAAGAGAAATTACCAAAATGAAGATTCCTCATAATATGCATGAATCAATAACGATGATGACATTATATGTGACATAAAAAATACAAATAATCTTTTAAAAAGATGTATATTATATAACTTTGACTAGATTGTTTTAATGTTATCGCACTGCTAACATATAATATAACATTGTTTACATTACGAAGAATATATTTTATAGCAAGAAAACCTCAGAAAACCTGTACCCGTAACTAATTCACTATGGTTTTGCACGCCTCACAACGCGTAAGCGTGTGGGAGTAGGGTTACCATATCTCAGGATTTGTCCTGAGATATCAGGATTTTTGGACTCTTCTCAGGATTGCGGATGGGTTTTGCAAATCTCTTGAAATCTCAAGATTTTTTGTATTTTCAATAAAATATAGCTAACGTTCTAAGGATCTGTTTTTATAAAAACTTAAACAAACTAAAAATAATCTTCCTTTGATAATAATTGCACAGTAAAAATCAGTACTTATTATCCAAGTAGGTACTTGATCAGTTTTATCATACTTAATATGTGATGATACATTATTCAGTAAGGTTTTTTCTTTAATTATGGATTTATAAAATGCCCCACATGTTAAGCTCTTCAAATTATATTGAATTAAAAGTATAAGCAGCATGTATATAAGCGATAATATTAAGACTTTTCTAAATTGTTAAGTACGTTTGAGAGAAAATTCTCAAACTGTAAAAATCTCAGGATTTTTCTATGGAAATCAAGCCTTTTTTCCGGACTTGATTTTTTTCATCTGGTAACCCTATGTTCCCACATAGGGTGTTAGTGCTTTACTCTCGATAGGCTATGTGACGATTTTACAATATAAAATCGCTCTTATCTCCCAAGTTAGACACAAATCAACAAAAAAAGTTTTTAAAACGACATATTAAATTCTAAAGTCAGCGTATTTTTTCATTTTCTTTTTGTATATATAACAGAAAAATGTAATTAAAAAATTATTAGTACTGCTGTCCGTTGGTCACTTGTTTGTCTGTACGTTTTAGAAAAATATACGCAATTAATTGTAATAAATCTTTTTGAATTAATTTCTACTTAAACTGAGGATGAACCCTATCCCTTCTTATCATGATTGAACTGATAACCGTTTGAAAGATATTAATGAAATTCAATGGAATTTATTTCCTGGGTTTCTGTTTCGTGAATGTGAGGCGTGCACTTTTAGATTTTTCCAAATTTTTTAAATTGCTTCTGCTGCAGCTGCCAGCAACAAAAAACAATTTACTTTTTATTATAAGATTGTAATCGAGTAATAGATTAGATTTAATGGGAAACTTTAGATTTTATATTTTTATATGAATTTGCCATTGAAGCTAGGCGCCTTGTTTAATTTTAAGAAATTAATGTAGTAGAATTATGTGAATACACATTTACTATGTAAATGTTGTAATTAAATCAATTTAAAAGTATATAATATGAATTAATATTATTTTGTAGTTTCAATTTACTTTATTTTCACGTATGTTCAACAGCATTTTGCTACACATAGGTGAGTGATCTTACCTAGAATATTTACTACATTGGTTATACCATCATTAGCATAATGAATAATTACTACACGTTTGCTTGGGGTCGGAAAGCGCTCATTACGAAAATAAATCGTTGTCAATCTGTGAACAACAGAAATTTACGTAAATTTATGTATGTAATCTGCAAAAATAAATCGTTTGCAATTTAAATTTGCAGATTTGCACATTGCGGAAAAAATCGCAAGCGCAGCGGTCAGTCCACTTGTAATTTTAGACGATGTCAGAGGTAGAGGCGGCCTTAGGGGGGGCGAACTGGCCAACCGCCCGGGGGCCCGCACAAAATTTGGAAATTAGATTGTTGTGTTGCACATGGCTCGTGCAATCGAACACTACAAGACATACTAAATAATTATGGCGATCTTAACAAACTACGGACAACTACACAGTGGAGGAGTAGAGCTTTGCTCCAGAGTTGAGATTGGTTTCAGGATCCATTTTTATAAAAAAATCACAGCTGATACTAGAAAATAAACTGCTTGTTTATTTTCCAGATACATCTGTGATTTTTGGCCGAGTAAACAGTGCATTTATTATGTGAATATAACTGGATTTTTGAGTGTAAGGCGACGATCTAAATAAAATTAAAGGTTCATATTTTTGGGATTATCTGAAGTTTGTTGATTGACACGGAGGAACAAGTTTCGTATCGCGTAGTAAAGGTCATCTGTATGTACCGACTAGGTCTTGTTTGCTTTAATTTGTCATATAATAAGCAATTCCGAGATATTGTTTTATCTTCATCATCATCAGCCTCCTCTAAGAATTTCCATACACAACTGGACTGCGCTTTCCGAATCCAGATCTCTCCGACTCTCTTGCTGTCGTCAGTCCACCTGGCACCTGGTGAGGGGTCTAGCGATACTGCGCTTCGGTTGCGTGGTCGCCATTTAAACACCTTAGCACCCCAATGTCCATTGGGCCGCCGAATAATGTGCCCCGCTCATTGTCACTTCAACTTGGCGATCCATTGAGCTATGTCGGTTATTCCACGGATTTCCTCATTCCTGATTCAATCACGTACCTAAAGAAAAAATCGAGGCTAGCCCACTCCATCGCTCGCTGTGCGACTAAGCCCTCTTATGCGGCCATGACTGCCAACACGCAATATTCGAAGATCTTGGTCTTTAGGCACTGAGATATTTTGGATGAGGACAGCCGAGTTGAATGCGGCGGTTTACCTCTTTTTCGAAGTTGTACTTACCAAAGTCGACTATTTGTCCCATATGTATATATTTATAGACAATTTCGAGTGCAGTCTGGAGCGGAACATGAGGGTTAGACATGAATTTTCGTCTTACTCATTAACATCAGTAAAATGAACATTTTAAGGCCCACCTCTTGAGACTCTGTTGAGGTCGTTGAGCATTGAATTGAGATCCTCCGAAATATCTGCTTTAACGACTATATCATCAGTAAATAGAAGGTAATTTATTTGTATTCAGGCAACGTAGGCCCTTAGTTATATACTAAATAGACCAACATAAATATGAAATACAAAACATAATTAAATTTTCTACATAATAGCTTTAGTCGACTTGTGGCGCGGAGTGATGTCAGGTAGCTTGCCTTTGAAACGCCGGAACAACCACACCTTTCGCCCAAAGCTCCTCTTTCAAAAAAGGTCGCCAGATGTTCAGACGGCACGACTAATGAATAAAAATTCTTTTTGAACTAAACTATATTAAATTATAAGGTGGGAGAGTGAAACTGCAATGTATGACGTTATAATTAATTTATTTATTCTGTCATTTAATAATACGTATTATTACTAGATATATACTTAACTTTACAGCGAGACAAAAAAAAAACAATATTGCATGTTTCCATTGTAGCCTGCATTCGCACAACACAACATATAATAAATAACCATATTTTTTTTCTTCACAACTACTTTTTATTCTAAAAATATATATACTAAATCAACATACTGTCAAATATTTTTTTAAATATAAAAAAGTAAAATATTATTTGTAATAAAATCAACTCTTAATTATATACACATATAAGTATTATTTTGGAATGTAATAAATGCATTGATATATGTCCAATATAAAGATCGCCTCGACTAGAACAAATTATACAAAACTCTCACTAATACAATTAAGTATATCAATTTCAATAAAGCATTAGCTATTTAATAATTTTAATAAACGGGTCTCTTTCTTGGTATTATATTTTTATAATACACTGCTCAATTCATAGAAGATAATATCTTACCTATAAAGTCTATCTAAAACTTTGTGATTTCCACTGATGTTATACATAAATAAGTACCTACCCATGGTAACTGGAAGCGGTTAATCAGTTCATAATATATTTAAACTCTTTCAAGTAGTGTGAAATACTCGGTGACGGTAAAGATGCTCAATAATTCACACGCATTTCCATTTCAAACAGGTTCTTCAAGAGAAGGGAAGTTCCAGGACATACCAATAATAGGCTGATAATAATCATATAATTACTCATCGTTAGGTTCCATTTCAAACAAGTTCTTCAAGAGAAGGGAAGTTCCAGGACATACCAATAATAGGCTGATAATAATCATATAATTACTTATCGTTAGGCATAATCAGTACGTTTTAAAATTAATTTAAATGTTTGATCGACAAAAAATACGAGTTTTCTTTCTAATTATCATGCCAGCACTTCACTTAGTTATTCGTGTTTGCTATTTGTAAACTTGACATCACTCTGTCCTTTTCATTCCTTATAAAGCATGATAAGAACAGACCGTTGACAAGTTTACAAATAGCAAATACGAATAGCCAAATAAGTGCGAGCGTCAAGATATCTCCAACATTGCCATGTAATACTAGTTTGTACATCCCAATACTGAAATATTATTTTTTACGGATTATTGGTGTATACATTGTGACATTTAAAACGCCTTAAGCTAATGAAAATAAGAGCGATATTTGTAGGGCAGTCGTGGCCACGTCAGAACAAAGAGACTCATTTAGTACTAGGTGGAAGAGAAGTTTGAACCTCTTTTTCACGGTCACCATATTGAAGAGACTAGCAGCACAGAGGCCATATTATGTACTTGATACTTGAGATATCAAAGTATCAATCACACGTTGCCTATGTTGAACTTCGCTTTAGCAAGTTCGTTTAGTTATCAATTTTAGGTATATGCAACGTAGCCATTAAAATAAGCATTAGGTCTATAACGAAGAAGAATACATTATACTTGATATTATATTTAGTTTTCTGACACTCAGTGCTGCTGGCAGTGAAATAAATAAAAGTAACATAGAAATTTAGTATATCCTCATTTGAAGCCCATGTTTTATCCTGACTTAGAATATGAAGTTAAAATTAAGCTTCATAGGCTTAACTTAGTTACTTATAGGTAAACCGCTTAACTGAGATCTCGTCTGCGGGGTACTGGGTGTGGGGGGAGGACGGGAACGGGACCGTGAGAGGTGCGGGCAGCGGGCACTTGAATTTTGACAAGAATGTGCCTGCAGGCCGCACCTCTCACGGCTCCCATTTTTGTCCGTCCCCACATTGAAATCCTCCAAAGTATATGTTTTAACGACTATAGCATCAGCAAATAGAATGTGAGTAATTATGTTGAGGAGGACGAGAAAGGGGGCGGGCCGTGAGAGGTGCGGGCGGCGGGTACTTGTAATTTTGACAAGAATGTGCCTGCCACCCGCATCTTTCACGGCCCCCGTTTTCGTCCGCCCCCACACCCTTTACCCCGAAGGCGAGGACTCAGTTAAGCGGTCTACCTATAAGTCTCGTAATACAGGATCAACTATTTTTTTTACCGCTTAATTGAATAAATTCTCCGTAAATAAAGCAAACAGAGTCCACATAGTTTTATTAATTTTGGCTGGCATTTTAACGGTCAAGTACTCTACCTACTTTGTTAATCTTACTCAGCAATGGGAACACAATAGCACTAATTAGGTAGTGTTAATTCCCTGTGTAAGGTGGAGGTTAATAAGCTTAAATTGCCTCGCGTTAAGAATTCATAAGAAGGACTCTCTATAGAGTTGATATTGTGATTGATGTCGTGAACCAAATATAATTCAGCATTTTTGTCGATTTGATGCTGTACACAATGGTAGTATTATTCTATGCGCTCGAGTTAATACAAAAAACCCAGCGTTGGGCTCCCCTGCTATAGAGTGGAAAAGCTTTTCTCCTCTGCCGGTTACATCACCAATAGGTTCAAACCTGACGTCATACGCCAAAGCATTTTAGTTTGTCTTTAGCCATAAAAAAAACTAAGTACAAATGCAATAAAAATACATCACCCCATTCGCAATAGACTTTTTAGAGAGAAAATTAGATCATTCTTACATAATTAGAAAATATCGTGCCCCGCCGCGTTTTAGTCATAGTCACTAAAACTACTCGACGTATTTTCATGCGGGTTTAACTTTAATTCATAAATATGAGTAATGCAAAACATGTAGTTTCTATATATCATTAATACATGTCTGAGAACAAAAGTTATACATTGAAACGTAGCGAGGGCGGGTCACTAACTAAACGTATAATAACAAAAACAATAAATTTAGAATACTATTCTCAGTTTTTTAGCAAACGACTAGTAAAAAATATTATGCAATACGTATTTTTTTGATTTCTCTGTATTTTAGAGGCAACGACATTTCACAAACAGTAAAAAAAGTCCCGAACTGTAACAAATCATCATCAATCACAGTGAACAACCCGACTAGAGTCCGCATGACATTTTTTTTTATTGAAATCGAAATTGCCAACGTTGATGGCGTGCGGGGAGTGTAAGTCACGTTTTGATTGGCCACGTCAGATGAGGCCGTGTCACAAGCTTATGTAGTATTACTGTATAAGCTTGGTGCAAGCGGGTGCCCTTGTATGCGGTCTCTAACAGGGGTGCTTTGTCGTCAATAGAGAATCGAGGACCATTTGTACGTTTAGTACGAGTTTGAAGTTACGAAAACTATGATAGTTTACGTGAGCTCGCTCAAGCTATCAGTTTACGATATCAACGGGAGCTTCAAGTTAATTTTTTCGAGAAAAGTCTATTGATAGTCCATCGCGTAATGCCGGCACTGAACTTGGCTACTCGTGCTTGCTATTTATAAACTTGACATCGGCCTGTCCTTTTCATTTCTTATAAAACATGATAAAGACAGACCGTTGTCAAGTTTATACATAGCTAATACGAATAGCCAAGTAAAATGCTAGCAAAACCCGATAGCGAACGACGAACTTCACGATGCAATTTTCATCTCTCCAAGCATGGTATAAAAAAACGAGCGAGCTTTACAGTAGTCGCGTATGATGTGTAACATTTGAAACCTCACCTTATATAAGTAAAAAAGTAAATAAAACCTACTACAAAAGGAATAAGCCATTTGAACATTGTTCTAAAGTCAAATCAAATAGCGCGCGCTTTCGCGACTTCCCGTTACAAACTTCCGTCCCATTTCATGAAATCACTCCCACAAATTGCAGGACAGCGAGAGGAAGAGATGTTACACATCAAAAAGCAGTTAATGCGAGATCACGTAAACTATCACAGTCAACGTACATAAGTCGAAGCCGAGTACTTAATATCTACTAATCTACGTCGTCGAGAGGCAATCGGGCAACTTCGCCCATTTCGGAGCAGGTGTCGTTGTCGCACGTGTACGTGACCACGAATCGCAGGCATACAGCCTCGCGTGCCGGTCGCCCGATCAACATTACCTTCATAAACGGGAATTCTTAATTTAAAACGTGATGGAAAAACTTTACTTTAAAAGGGTCAAGCACATTTTGCACCATGGTGGTTAGAAAGAAGGAGAACGATCGCTTTAGAAATTAGTGTCAATAGTGGACAAAATAAGTGAGGCGCTGCGATCGTTAAGTTGTCTCAATAAAAGCGCTAATTTGAAATGACCAATGCTGCGAAGAAAATTTGTACGTTATTCAACTAACTTCATCTACTTGTACTCATTAACAGCTAACTTCACAGATACTACTAACCACAGAACACAGAATTTCTGCTTAACATAATTATAAAAAAAAAAATGCGTTTCAGATCGTACCAGTTCCTTTTGTTTACAGAATAGAGTTTACTGTTGGACATACTTTTTTACTAAATCGAGAGTGAACTTTAGTCTGAATTACTGCATAATTATTTCGCGTCAATGTTTCTCTATTATTTTAGGTAATCTGTGGTCAATCCTTACTCTAAAACAACATTTCCTGACTATGACCATCTCCTAAAGAGAAGAAAAGCACAGATTTCAAATTTGGATAAAGTTGAAAATATTACCTGTGTGAGTGCGGGTGGTGGTAAGAACGGGTTGAAAGCTGGCAAACCCGTGCCAGACGGGGTCAGCAGGCGAATCTTGCAACCCTGCCAAACATATACATATATTATTTAAATTTTAAGAGGCAAATTAATGACCATCAATTAATTTTTTATACACACTACAAGGTAAGATTTATTTACATTTTTAACCGACTTAAAAAAAAATCAAGAGATTCTGTGTTTGACTGTATATTTTTTTATTGTTGTTTGGTTTTGAGTTTAATTAAATATTAAATAGTGCAATCATTGCTTATACAAGAGAGATTGATGCAGATTCCGGCATGAATATCTAAATTTAAAACTAAATTTTACATCAGTTTTTCTTTTCATTCTGTATAGGATACTAGGATACACTGTTGTCAAATTTAAGTTTAGGTTTAGAGAATCCTACCCACCATTATCTAACTTATTAGGATTAGTCGGAACTACAACCTAAGTTTTATAAATTAATATTTCAATAACCATTTATCTGGGATCCTTTAAAAAAGGCGTGAAGAAGCAACATGCAGGCTGGCAAGGTGAGGATGGCTGGTGTGGCAGGTAGGACTGCTGTACCAGCTATTTTCACATCATGACTTCACCATCACTTAACATGAGGTGGGGTTGAGTCATTTGTCGGACCTATCTATAAAAAAAAACAATTTACCTTTGGAACAACACCTTGAAATTTATAATCCTCTATGGGCAAGGGGTTTTTGCTCGTCGTCGATATTACAATAACATTGACATCCAACCGCGGCTTATCTTTGCAGAAATGCAAAACGACCGTGAGGCCGTTTTCTTCCTCAAACACAGTCAAAGGGGGTACTTTGCTGGGTTGCACACTTTGCAGGGTTACATTTATATCAGTCAATGGTTTCACATCAGTGACTTTGTTCTTAACATTATCTTTCTTTTCACTGTCACTGATAGTATTTTCCTTATTTCCTACAGTAACTTCTGTTGTATCACATTTGGCGTTGCTAACATCTAATCCTAAATCTAATATGTCATCCAATGGGCTTCCACCATTATTGTTAGTAGTGTTCATTGTTGATGTGTTGGGAACATCAGCGGAAATATCAACCATAACATCATCTATAGGAGACCCAGATTGTGACGTTTGTGCTGGTGGAGTTAATATTTTTTCCTCAGGTTTCTTGGTGAAAAAATCTAAATCAAACTCAGCCCCACTGTTAGGTAATTGTGTTTTGTGATTAGGTGACTGTTTCTGTAATGCGTTGATAGGTATTTTCTTTGTAGATCTACTGTAAATATGGAAAATTGTTCACATTAATTTAAAGTTACTAAGTTGATTATGAATCTATAAAATTAAAAACAGCAAGCATACCTATTAAAGCCATCAATATGTTTTGCATTTTCTGGTAAAGATTGTTTTAATAATTGTTCACCTAGAGAATCTAATTCATTCCACCCTTCAGTCTTACTCTTTTTCTCTCCCAGGAGGTCGACATCATCTGCAAATACATTTTATAATTGTTATACATTGAAACAAAAAGTTATTTATACATTAAGATGAAATAAAACATTGACCCCATACCATTTTGCATGAGGTTAACAGGCTTTAATGGTTCAGCAATATTACTGGCACTGCTTCCAGTTGAAAATATATCACCCAATTCATCTATCACATTATTTTTTGCATCATTCTTTGGATTATCACCATCGCCAGTCCTAACGTTAGCTCCAGCGAAATCTAGGAGGCTATGATTGTTATTCTCTGTCGGGACTGCTGGTGTATTTGTCTTTACTAATCGATCTTGCATAAAACTGTAATATTGTACACATACTTCATCTAATGCATCGGTTGCATTGAGGATGTCACCTGAAAACATTCCCGTATTCCTGAATATGCATGATATAAAACATACTAAAAAAAATAGTAGATTGACAACTAGTATCAATAAATCAATGTCCAGTAGATAAATTTGTTTCATTTCTTAGCAACAGTGTTTATTATAATTTAAATTATAAAAATATCTAAACAACAAGGTTCTAATACGACGACCTCCGTGGCCGAGTGGTTTGTACGCCGGGTTTCATGGCGTCACCGACTCGAGAGGTCCCGGGTTCGAATCCCGGTGGGGGCAGATATTTGTGTGATGAACACGAGCATTTGTACTCCAGTCATGGATGTTTAATATGTATTTCTATATAAATATACTTATATATGTAAAGTATATGTATTCTATCCGTTACCCTAGTATCCCATAACACAAGCCTTATAGTGCTTACTTTGGGGCTAGGCTAATTGGTGTGAGTGTTGGAAATATTTATTTATTTAATAGGCCTACCTCTATTAATGAAGTTTCATTAGCGAATATACCCATACTACGGGACTGATTAAGTAGGGGGGGCGCACCTAATTTTCTTCTTGATTCTATTTTGTTTCTTGTAAATATGTATAGGTTTGCATGCGCCCTTGGCGTCACACTGCAAACGCCATATGTATAAAGACAAATATGAGCAAAATTATAGTTTTTTTTACAGTCTGTGAGCGTAGTATGGGTATGTTCCCTATTGTAACTTGCCGTAACTTAAACCAGACAAAGCACAAGGATCAAATACTCTACTATAATGAATCAGTGCAGGAGACTCACTCAGATTGTCAGCTTGTGCGTCAGAAGCGGCGAGGTGCTGTAGCAGTGGTCGTAGACGCGCGCAACTAGCGTGTAGTTCGTGTATGAGTTGCTCTTCGTCCGGGGAGGCGTCTTGCGCGTGCGCTAACATATCGCGAAGTAATCCTGCGCTATCCAACGCGGCGCCCACTTCTTGTGCGCGCCGGCTGTTCGCTTCACTACGACGCTCTTCCTTTGATTTAGGCATAAATAAATAAAAATCTTTAATTTATCATATTAACCTACATTTATGAATATCAAAAAATAAAAATCGTTTCTCAGCAATATTTTTTTGCTAATTTGGATGTATAGAATGTGTGGGCCCTGGCTTTGTCGAAGGTCTTTTTAAACCTTTGTATGTATCTTGTCTCCTTCTAGAACAAAGTACACCTACCAGCTGATAAACTTTACGAGACTTTGTATAGACTTCGTTTTTTAACTTATTAGAATTGTTAACAATTGAAGGGGTGAGTGGGCAAAGGTGTTATTTGACAAAACTGCAAAAATCTACTTATTTGCATGAATATAGGTTTCAAGTGGTGAAAAATCGATTGATGAGCTCAAAACACGGAAATTTTGATTCACATCAAAAATACAGACCCTAACAAAGGTGTGTATGCACACATACATTTTCGAAAAATCATTTACACTAATATGTTTGGAATAATAAAAGGTGATATCAAACAATATGTCTTTTGTATCTTCGCAAGAATAATACTATTTTAAGTTATAAAAATAGGCAAAGGTGTTATAAGCTGTGTGGTATGTTTGCTGATACAAAATTAATTATTATTTTTTCAAAACCTCTAATGCAAGGGTGGTAACGTGTTTAATCTCCATTGTTGGAATTTATTTAATTCAATATATCTTATATTTTATAGTATTTTACCACAATTATATTAATACACCAAACGGTCTGTCAATGTAAAATGTCTCTTATGTTTTCTTAGCGAATAAGAGCTGGTTCCCACTTGTCGGTGTCGGTCCAGGATTTTATCGGATACTCAAGTGGCAGAGCATTTTATATTATTTCTTGTCGGCTCCGACACAACATCGGTTTTCGACATGAGAGTGAATAGCTTAATATAAAGTGTTCTGGTACAGGAACATACAATTAAAATCTGGACCCGACAAGTGGGAAAGAGTTCTTAGATTTTGTTGTTTGGAGTATTTTTTAAGGCTGGAGACTGTTAATAGTTGGTTGTGCAGATAATATATCACTATGCTTTGTCATCAGGCTCACATGCATGGCAAATATTGAATTTGAAGATTCATGAGATTAACAATAACATAGAAAAAGATGACTGTGAGGCAGGTTCATATATACTGCAAAATTCGTTAAAAGCAATGACATATAATATATAGACAGTTTATACATTATAGTGGTGCCGTACAAGTAGTGCCGGCCCCAACTTTCCTTGGCAACAGCTGCCAATAGAGTGCACTAAAGTAATCTCTTTCACTCTCATTAATAAAGCAGATTACACTCGCTCTTTGTATCAACGGTATCAGCAACTGTCAAAATAAGTAATCACTAAATATTTTTAGAATTATTTCATAAAAACTGTACTTATTAAGAAAATGACACATTTTTCTTGTTTGTTCCCGTGTATTTTGTGTACTATCTAACAACATACAGAGCTTTTTGTTTGGTAAGACTTAGAATATTTTGGTACACATTGTAGCAAAGTGTAGCCGTGGCGAGAGAGCGTGCCCGACTGAATGCAAGTCGGGCAATTACCCAACTTTCATATTGCCAAATTTTAAACTTTAAAACATCATAGGTTAAAAGATTATGTGAACTTTATTTGATTTTAGTCCACGGTGGGCTGTGTAGTTCTTGGTTAATTTAGATAGTTCTCAAAATTTGCTACTTTGGTCAGATTCTTGCAGGGGGCCAAATTTCTAAATGTTTTTTATCAGTTCATGATTGAACATAAATTGTATGCATCCATTGAACATAAATTTCCAGAGGTAGGTCATACTTTTTTAGATAGTGACATAGATTTTGGGCGTATAGAAAAACTTTTAATGAGGCATGAGTAAATATTTCCTCCTAATCAGTACTGAAATTCACAGTAATTAAAAAGGCATCTAAAAATAATTCAATCATAGAAGATAAGAAAAATCATTTTTATGATTTCGTCAAAATAAGACATGATATGGGAATAGCTTTTTTGAAAAACCACCCTTTCTTCTATACAATCTATAAATTAATAGTATTTTCAAAAGTAATAATTTTTCTATAAAACTTTAAGCTGGTATAGCTACATTGATTTTATTATTTAACATTTTCAAACATTCATAACGCATTTTGAACTTTTTGTTAGTTAACACCTTTCCGTCCACTCACCCCTTCAATTATTATAATGAGCTTCATAAAAACTATATTTAAAAAATAAGTAGAAAATCCTAAAAGCCCCCATATCTTTTGGTTTGACTGACAGGAACATAATGCTCTGCTTAATATACTACATGTATGCCAATTCAATTTAAGTAAATTATTTTGTAGAAATCTTTTTAAACAGTGATCATCATGGTCCTAAGCAGGTACTACTTTTTAAAACTAAATTGCATATACATGATTTAAATTTCTTAAAAAGTTTACCCAATTATTTTACATAATTATACTGCTACTAAGATGCCCATTGTTTTGCCAGGAAAACCAATAAATGATAAGCATTGACAGAAAATATGTGGTTTAATTATATTTTTGCAGAAAATATTATTTAAAATTATATACCCCTCATTACTTACCTAATTAAAATTAAAATTGATAGATAGACAAAACTTTATTTGCACCAACAGACACAAAAATGACAAGAGCCTAAAATTGTTAACAAATATATAAAATCAGAAAGAGCTTTAACAGCCTAGAATGAAAAAAATGAATAAATGAGTTTGAGTTTTTTTGAGTTTAAAAAACAATTTAATAATATGTGCAGCAATGATGAGAATGGACGAAAACTCTGTGAAACAATTGCTCAGAGATTAAATAGCTCATTTTCAGTTTTGGCCAATTACAACTTTTATGCAAGTAATGGGAAATGATATAAGAAAATATAAGTATAATTCATTCAGTTTGAAGTGATTATCAATAACATTTATATGATAACGCAACTGATTCAAACAGTTTAATATAAAGTAGTTAAGTCACACTTACCTCTCGCACCATAGTCTTTATAAGTCTGTTAGCATGTTGTAAGTCTTCTGGCTTTTTACTTTGCAACAACTTCTGTAATAACTTTGATTTCTCTTCATCTTCAAATATAGCACTTTTGGCTCGCACTCGGGGAGTTGGCGGGGAATCTTCTGGAGGGAGGGGTGGAGGGGTCTCCTTCACAACTCCTTGGTTTTTTAACATATCATATGCCACCTTAAACTTAGCTTCTTTGGGATACTCAATAGACCAGGCATGGAGAAGCTGTAATACCTTAAAATAATATGTTTATTATAAATAATATCTACATAATATAATGAAATACATAACATAACCTTGCAATACAGTCATTATTGGAACGAAAATAAATTATCATTCTCCATATACAGATAAATCAGGACATGAATATAATTTTTCCTTATTGTAATAATTATAGAGTTAATTGAAACTTTAGTTACTTCTGTAGATTGTAGAATAAGTTTTTTCTATAGAATACAATTATGGTAATTTAAAACTTATACATACCCTTGTCTGTACTTCAGGAGCTGTTCTATCGGCAAAGTATTTAGGAGATACAAGTTTTATCATTTCATTGAGAAATCTAAATTTGCCAACTTCAGCATGAAAATTAGCATCGCAACGTCGCATGCAGCGGTCCAGCATCGTAAGCGCCAGTAGTGCTTCCCGTGCATTCGGAGCATGGATTCTGGCAGCCAACGCTTGTGCTGCATATTGTGGCCCATCTGCAGCATCTCGCATCACAGCACAAAACGCTTCTAATGCTGCAGCATCTGGACAAGGCAACGACTCATGTGTTGCCTTTACTGTATGCAAATTTACATCAAATTGATTATTTACAATGGTCGAAACCATTGACAAAAGTTTGATGATCGAAAAATATGAAGCACTAGGATATACTTACATATCAGTGCTTCCAAACTTGTAAGAGTGATATTCATTTTTTTTTCCTTTTTATCTCCAAATAAATTTATTTAAATTTTAAAATTACACCATTATCCTCATCATCAACCCATGTTCGTTCAATACTGGACATAGGTCTCCCCTAATGCACGCCACTGCTCCCGATTAGATATAGAGTTGTCAAATTCAATTTGGTATTCAGTAATGACACAGTGGTATCGATTCTAGCACGATTCTCTAAATCTAAACTTAAATTTAACAACAGTGTATCCTTGTCATTTTCTATACAGAATGAAAAGGAGAGACTGATATTAAATTTAGTTTTAAGTTTAGAGAATCACGCCAGAATTGACACCACTATCTCTTTTAAAATTGACGTCATTAAGTTATACAACTTAGATTTAGATGATTAAATGGTATTCTGAAACGCGTTCTAAATGTCATATTTTCTCTAAAATTTGAAATATCATACATGAAACAAATCATATTTGGATCAAAGTTAAACTTCTAGAATAGACATTTTTACTAATATTATTAATTAAATATAAACAGTTTTTACAAGTTGTAATTGATACAAATAAAAGCCGAGTAAAATAATAAAAAAAACACTGCATTGACATTCATCCTAATTGGTCCTATTTGGTAAACAATCTAGGCACTCTTTTTGTTGAAAATACAGCATTAAAAATCAACTGATAACTAGATTCAATAGGTTTCAGTCTATAATAACGATTTATTGTAATAGATTATGGAATTTGTAATTATTTAATTTTTAATTTGGTGATATTGTTACCAAATAGGACAAGTTATCAATGAAAAGCACAAGTATTCGTATATATTATTCAAATCGCATTTAATTTTATGCAACCTTTGGTGAGATTTTGATTTTGTCTACGATTCCTGTTAAAAATAAAAAGGTTGAAACAATTTCTATAGGAAATTACTAAAAAAGAAGGTACATTGACTATCTATAATCGAAATAAAATATTTAGCTGCATAGCGACCGAACAATTATTCAAGTGATTGAATAAATTTCAAACCGCGTCGAGCGTGCCCTGCGGCCGCGCAATCGTCCCGCAGACGGGGGGTGTTTTAGGCGGAGGCTTTCCCGCAGCTGACAGGTAACGAATATGAAAATATCTCGAATACACGATCTTAGATTTAATATCGTGTCATTATGTAACCGGTATTGGTATCATCGATAATATCGATTACCTCGGTTAGCACTATTTGCTGTCAGTGTCTGACATATCTGTCAATTGCCTTCTCTCACGTTATCTTGTTCATAGTTGGTCGAATAAAAATACGTATGTCAAAACTAGTCTTCGCTGATTGGATCGTCATTTTAAAGTTTTCAATATCAAGTTTTGATTGGTGGATTGCATTGTAGTGGTAAAAGCAAAGGCGAATGAATTTTTGTGACTAAAAATAAAAAAATAAATCTTTCTTTTAATCAATTCAATAGCAGTACATCCATTTTAAGTCGAATCGAAACTTTCGCTTTTTTGTTATGTTTAATTAAAGTTACAGTTCGTTTCATTCAAGAATTTCAGTAATATTCTAAGTTTTACTAATAATAACCTACTTTTACAATGACAATGTCTAGAGTGTCTCGTCTTGTAACTCAAATCAAGACGGTTTCTAGAAAAGAATTTATAAATGTAGTCCCGAGAAGAAATGCAACCACCACTCCGACAGGGGCAATTTTACCCGAACCTGAAAAACAACCCTTCGGTCTTCTCAGTATAATCTGCGCAGTTGTGCCTGGGCTACTAATCGGAGCCGCAATTAGTAAAAATATTGCAAATTTCTTGGAAGAAAACGAACTATTTGTGCCATCCGACGATGATGATGACGATGATTAAAGTCTAGAGTGATGTGGTTCATCAGACGATGATAAAAGGTTTTTATAATTTAGGATTTTCTAAGATTTATTATTCCTACATAATTACCATTTGGCAGAGTTTCAATAGAATTTTACGTATCGTGCCTACATATTTAGACATTAACTAGGCCTATAATAATATGGTGTGTAGGTTAATATTAGTCCTGGGTCCTAAAATTCTAAAGTTGAACAGAGATATGTAACTGTTTAAGTTTGAATATATGTTTTTACTTAATCCAATATATTTTAATATATTACTTTGTTTCAGGATTAAAAAAATAATGCAAGAAAAAATACGATTTAGATTGTTATGAAGTTTATATTATAATAATTGTTATTCTATTAGTTTGTGCTTAAGAGTCACATTAATTATCGCATCTTTTATGTAAATGTTAGGGATATCAAATTTATTCTTCAATACTTATCTACTTCTAAAGAATACTTCAATATATTTACATTACATATGATTTATAAAAATCATATTTATCTTTAGTCTTAATAAATGCATTCATAGAAATGCATTTAATTGTCTTATGGAGTAACATCTCTGCTAATCTAGTCAAACATTTCCATAATGTAGCAATAAATTAAATGAAAAACAATCTCCATAATTATTGTGCTTATTAAAACAATTTGTTCAGTGTGTGTTGAATAAAGATGATTTAAATGGCATGATTCAGTCTTTCATTTTACAATTATTATTCCTCACATCATTTGTGGAAGCCCATAGTAAACATGCATAAATTGGACACATTGTATAATCATTGGTGTCAATTCTGGCATGATTCTCTAAATCTAAACTTAAATTTGACAACAGTGCATCCTTGCCATTCTCTATATAGAATGAAAAGGAGAGACTGATGTTAAATTTAGTTTTAAGTTTAGAGAATCACTCTAGAATCGACACCAGTGTCTTAGTTAAAATACATTTGAAAATTGTTTCTTATTATACTGTATTTTTTTTTATTTTGGTTTTCTCATCAATTACAAGAAGGCTGTGTGCTCACTGCTGCAAATGTAGTAAGAAATGTAATAGAAGTATGCACACTGAGTAAAACAACTCATTTTATAATTTTGTTAAATTGATAAAAACAACAAACTACCAACAGGTACACTCAAAATGTCTTGTGTTGTGGCTGTTCACAAAATTCAACATCAGTCATTTTATTGAACTCATATTACAATGCAAACATGTTAAAGTGAAAATTGCAATAAACAAAAAATGTTTCAAAATAATACAGAACATTTTTTAAGCATTTAACTGCGATGTTAAATTAGATGTTTAAATCTAAAGAAGTTTCCTAGAAAAAAGTCCACTCGGACCAGGCAGCAGACGGGGCTCGAACCCGCACCCTTCGCTATCCGGGCGAATGCACTGACCATTATTCTACCGCGGCCCTGACGGCCGTATCGAAATTTCTCTAGCCTTAGGCTGCAAGGTAGCGCATAATGGTGGAATTTTTTCTAGTAAACTTTTCTTTAACAATACAGATGTTGAATAAAGTATGAGAAACATCACAGATATTAAAATGGTTACATTTTGTTTCTTACAATTTAAACAAACAATAATAGTGATCATTGTGATATATAGTTTGCATTTATTCTGGAGGTTTCTTGTGGTCTCCCCAGCCGTGGAAGCATTTAGTGAAACGGCGCGACTCCTTGTTCTTTAAAGTGAGAAATAGTTTGCGCGGCCTGTCTGGTTGCACTGACTTCATGTGCTGAATGTATACCTGTAATTGAATAGACATGTAAGAAATTATCACTAAATGAATAGAGCCAAAAGTGCAGTCCTAAAGAAAATATGAGTCAATGTTATTTTAAAAATGAACTTTATAAGTCTCAACAAATTACCCCTCCCCACTTAAAGTTATGTTTAAGTCCAGACGCGAAGATAAATGTGCGGCAGAAAGTGTGCCGCTCCAGCTACCACCCGCCTGAATACAATCCTCTATCACGCGGAGCCCTGGAACCCTTCTCACTAACAGAAACAACACCAAAAGGTAGTGTTATTTAACTGTGGACCTGTAAGGTGGAGGTTGCTTACCCAGGCGAGCACTCCAATCAATATTTCTTAAAAAAGGCAATGACAGTGATAACGGAATTATGGAGAATGTCCGGTTCCATTCCCGCCAGTGGGAAACTATTTTCAGTGCAGTTTATTTCTTATAAGCAAATAAATAAAATTTAAGTTAAACAATTCAACAACAATCAATCCTAAATAAATAATGGCCTATAGATAGTTTGTCTTATTACCTGAGCTGATTTGTAAGCGAGTTTTATTTCAACCTCTGAGCATTTAGCGCCCAACCACAGGAACACTTGTTCACCATTATCTAAGATCATGATGTCGTCGTCGGCTAAATCATCCTAGAATAGAGAGCCATTATAGTTAATAAAATTGTCCAAGCCTTAATAATTGATTGTGAGGGATATTATGAATACATCCATTAAGGGAACATTTTATTTTAACAAAAAACATATAGGTACCATATTCAAAAAACGACGACGGGGACGAACTATTGAACTATTATGAAATTGACATTTAATTTGATTTACACATTTTGTTTTTATTTGTTTGAGCATAAGCATGATGTGTTTCTATTTAATTCGAAGTTGACGTTAGAATTGAATTTTGACATTTTATGTATTATTTTTTATAGCAAGGTAGGCAAATGACTACCCCACCTGATGTTAATGGTGATAATGTCCAAAGGTGAAGATAGCTGGTACATCAGTTATAAACTGATACACCAACCATCCTCAGCTTGCCGGCCTGTAAAAATGCTTCTTCTACTTATTGTGAAATTATTATTGACGTGTAATTTATTACGAAATAAATGATTATGATTATCTGACCTGGCAGAAGTCCGTGCACTTCTCGGAGACGATGAAGTACCCTTTTTCATTGGAGCACCGGAACAGTCGCGTATAGTTGAGGTAGTCGGCGTCGGTGTCGTAAGGCTTGCGCCCGCCCAGCGCCACCCAGAAGAAGTTGTCTGGCTCGCTGCCTTCGTTCAATACCTGCACGAGATAGAGTAACATAATATTATCGTCATAGAATACAATAGTGAGGAGCCAGATAGTGCAAGTGGATAGCGCGTCCGATCTGCCATTGTGGTAGTTATAATAATATTATATAATAATAATAAATATTTCCAACACTCACACCAATTAGCCTAGCCCCAAAGTAAGCACTATAAGGTAGTGGCGGACTAAGCCCGTCAGAGACCCGGGCCAGCTAAAGCCGAATGAGGACCCTCAGCTTTAAAAAAAATGTAGTTTCTTATGTTTGTTTCGTTAAAATCTAGCAAGTGAAATTTAAATTCGAATTACATTATTTCGGCTAAATAAACATACAATCCTAAATGTAAGTTTTTTTTCTCTCCGGCTGACCCGGACCCTGTGCGGTGCCGCCCCGACCGGACCGAATAACCTGCTGCGTCCAGCGATACCTGTGACGCTGCTGTATGTGTCCCACTTATACTACACTATGAAGGCGGTGGAGATTGCAGAATACATGCGTACGAAGACCAATCTCTCCCTAAAGGTTACGCGGTTCGGGTTTCGCCACGACGTGAATTTTAATTCATTTGTGGTGAGAGTGCCTTTTTAAAAGAGCTGCTTTGGCCGAAACTTGCGGTGTTCCGGCGTTTCAAAGGCAGGCTATCTCACTCCAGGCCACACGACGCCGACTAAACGTGTTATTAAGAATTTTTAATTATGTTTTACATTTCATATTTATTTTAGACTATAAAGTATATATTTCTATGGACCTACAATGCCCGAATACAAATTAGATTGATAGGTATGGACGTATTCCTTACTATTTCTAATTCGTTGTGTACGGTATACAAATTAATTAGCAACGGGCACTTACTTGCAAGCTAACCCACGGGTTGTTGAACTTCTCCTCGGCGATCTGCTCGATGAGACGGGCAGAGTCCGCGTCACTTTTGTTGCCGATCCAAGCGTACACTATGGCCGATGACGTGTCGTTGGAGCCCTCTAGCGGGACGTTCAGGATGTAACTAAACAAATTATAAACATTTTTAATGGTAGTTTTTTTATGTAACTTTGTGCCACAAATGAACAAGCTTACATATACATAGGTTGATAAACACATTACCCTCACTACGCGTCACACAGTCTGGATATAAGTAAAACAAACAAGCATGTTACCCGCTTGATGATAACCGACTGCCATTACTAAAGACCTCTGTGGTACTGTAAAGTAAAACTCTACACAAGCTACCCCCAACACCGGTTCCGTTTCCATCCCCGTTGATGCTCGCGCTGCCCAACGAGCCATTAATGCCGAGCCCACACTAACGGGAAAGCAACCATTATTTAGCGCGATATGGACGTTTAAGATACAATGATTTTGAAACAGGTATCTTATTGCCAACATTGAAACATCCAATCCATGCGAAGGAGTGTTATTATGAATTTTCACTTCACTTGCACACTTCATACTTCTTCGCTTTTCCCTTCCCTCCCTTCCGGGTAAAGGGTTTACTCATCAGAGAGCCACAATTTTAATTGCTCGGTGTGTGGTATTATGAATTTAAAAAAAAACATTGTCATTCACGCGCGTTTCATTGCCACAGCGCCCAAACTTTTGATGAATTTTAAGTACTTAGAACGCCCCATGGTTTCAGAATCTTTTATAGAGGATTCATATCATGGGTGTAGATAAAGTTTTGTATGCAACTGTACATAATTAGGTATTAAAACAAGAGTTGCATAAATAACTATTTAAGAATGACAACTGCAGTAGCTGAATATAAATGGGCCAATGTATAGAAAAATCTAGCAATTTCATACTTATAATACCATACAATAACAGGTCACCAAGCTATCATACGTGAAAGGAAACGTGTATTGTTAATCTGAAAGAAAATTGGTACAGACAGCGGGAGCGACTTGTAATAATAGTAAACTCACCAGAAAGCGCTGTTGAGTTGCGTAGCGTCGGGTTTGACCTGCACGAGGCGGGTGCACAGCGCCGACCCGTTGCTGCGCAGCTCGAACAACTCTACCGGTTGCCGGCCACCCTCCTGCCAACAAATTACACATGCTTAACTTATATTAAAACAAAAAGGGTAGATACGGCACTAGCCTCATAAAAGTGATCCGCACCAATTGTGGTCCACGACCCTAATCGCTTTAGTCACAACTTGATATGCAAACGACGTACATGTAAACGCCAAAAAGAAATATTGATAATATTTTGTGTTTATATGATAAAACAATGCCTAAGTATGTTTTTAAAAAGTGCTCAAATTGCTCAAGAACTAAAAATAAAACCCACGGCATCACTTTTCATTCGTAAGTACTATAAAATATATTTTTTCATAAAAATTGCTGTTTGTTTTGAATCTCGAGTACTGGTCGCGTGATTGGTCGGTAGTGCAGTGACGCGGATCTCGCCGTGTCGTCCGCGCTGCCGTTGAAACTTAACGTGCTGTTTCGATCGGGTCGGTAATGCAGTGACGCGGATCTCGCCGTCCCGTTCGCGCTGCCGTGGGAGTTTTTGTTTAATGCAAGTATGAGCGTACCGTATCTACCCTTTTTGTTTTAATCTAAGATGCTTAAATGCCTTCATCATCAGCCTAATACATTGCTCCAGAGGTCCACCCTCCTGCCAACAAATTACACATGCTTTAATGCCTTCATCATCAGCCTATTACATTTCTCCAGAGGTGTCCTAATATAGCTCGTAAGCCGTCGCACGAGCACAGGTACATTATTTTCATCGCATGATGAGATCGTATCGTGCCATCGCACGATCATTGCCAATTAGGACGACTCAATGTCTCCAATGCTTGGGGCACAGGCTTCTCAGGAGATTGAGTCGTGACGTATCACGCGGGCCCAGTACGGATTGGTGGGTGCTGACGACTGCAGATCCAGCGACAACTAACGGCTAAACGTTTTGGTCACCCATTCAATGACCGGTCACTGCGAGAATTGCTAAAATTCAACGATGATTTCTTAGCGAGTAGATGAACCAGCAACGTGATATTGGCAGAATTTGTAACAGTCATAATATTGCCTAAGAGAAAAAGAAAAAGCCTAAAGAAACTATTTCAAATCTCACCAATGCAGCTATGATGGAAGTCATGTTGCTGCATAAAATATAATATTGATATAAAAATTATTACAATAGCAATGAAAAGAGAGAGTTCAATATATTATTATTCATATATCACCTGACCTGACCTAAGTATTTAGCTATTCAAATCGCAAGGAAATTTGAAAATTTATTGAAAAAGATCTGACTTTATTTCCTAGTGTTTAGCAAAATTTATAATATAGAAAAAAATATATTCAACTAAATGCTTAATTCTGGCACCCTAATAGACAGGAGGAAAAATATAATAGATAATAATAGAATAACACTATTTCTATACTACTGTATGGCACAGAAATAAAAATGTGAGTGAGCGTTGTATTGACAGCAACATGATTTTAGGTAATGTTGCTACTTCTGTTAAATGTTAATGAGTTTCTTGCGCCCATTCTACTTATCAGCTAATCGACGCCCTGGATAGGTGGTAAGAAAAAATATTGAACAATTCAAAGGAGCTTTCAATATTAACAATTTGAATAAAATATACTTTTATTTCAGTCAAAGCAAATTACACTCACAGGTTTCTGGTTTCTCTTGCCGTCCCTGATGATGAACCGGCGGTGAAAGTGCGACATGAACTTGAGACTCTCCTGCTGCTGGTGGGTGCGTACTACGTCAAGACGGCGGCAAAGCTGCTTGAACTTGCGCTCCAGCCCGAACGTGAACGTTAACCAACCCATATTGGGGGCGCGGCGACCTGATAATACATAATCTTACTTAGAGAGGTATGGCGACACAGACACTACGTCACATGGGCTCATAACATTATCCCAAGTTGTGGCTCGAAGGACCAATATATTTTTGTCGGTGTCTAAGTTTCAACGGATTAGAGATGAAGTCAGGAAGTCAGGGTAGGCAACGACATAAGTAATTTTTGTGGTATTATGATGAACCGGCGATGAAAGTGCGACATGAAGTTGACACTCTCCTGCTGCTGATGGCTGCGTACTACGTCCAGACGGCGGCGCAGTTGCTTGAACTTGCGCTCCAGCCCGAACATTGATTGATTGATTCATAACATTATCACAAGGTTTTGTTTTCTGGCTCGAAGGACCAATAATGTAGTGTTGGTAGTGTTGTGTGTCTGTCGATGAGTAAGGTTTCGGGGGATTAACAGGGGAGGGAATGGGATCAGTAGGTGAGATGAGGTCAGGGTAAGCAAATTGGGGGCGCGACGACCCTACAATAAATATGAATTACAATCTAATCGATTAAAGAGAGGTGGGTGACACCGACACTACGTCACAAGGCCGTCATAACATTGTCACAAGGTTGTTTTTTCCGGCACGATGGGCCAATAGTGTGTTGTCAGTGGTGTTATGTTTCTGGCGGTGAGTAAGATACCAGGGCTCTATCAGATACCTCTGACCTATATAGCACTAAGCGGTTTCATCGGACCGCGCTCGGGAAAAAACATCATTCCATCATACAGTAAGCGGTCGCATGAGACCCTCGGAACTTTAAGTCGATTTTTGTGATAGTTATAGTCGACTTTTGTATGAAGAAGTTTAACAAGGATAAAGGATCCATTATATTCTCCATACATCTGCCCAATGTTGTGCATCAAGTATTAATTAAATCGAATGATGAGCAAGAAATACAATATATACCTTGCCAGAAGTACACGACCCAGGGCGCAGCTTCTGACTCGCCCTCGTCTGCTTCGATACCGTTCGATCCATCAGTTTCATCTTCAGGCTGCAAAGGAAAGGCTTGAATGAGGGTGGGAATAATACTTATTTATCTTTACAAATACAGAACTTTCAACCTAAATGTGATATTTTTTTCTCTCTAACAGTTCGAATAATAAAGAAAACGCAAAGTTTATTACAAATGGCTTTGGCCGTTTGTTGCATAACAAGCAACCTGTCACTTCAAGGCTGCGTTCTAATTCGACGCCCTAAGTGCAACTTTTTACCCCGACGTTTAAATTTTCACATAAAATGTATGAAACTTGTCAAATTTGACATTTAATTTTGTTGTGCAGCTGGAGCTTGGTTTGTGACCATTCGACAACTGCGCCTCGGGCGGGATAAATTGGCAGTTTTCGTCTTTATTTCTGTACATTTTTATACGTGCGGTTACGGGGATAAAATACTACTCACCGCCCCTTCTCTTCCCGTGGGTGTCGTATGAAGCAACTAAGGGATATCGGAGATTCCATCCGCTTATATGTTGGTAGGGTGTCTAGCACTCGCCTAGTTTGTTCCCACCGTACGCATGGTGAAAAACCAGCGAAGTGCTTCTCGCGCATTTCGGGGTCAGCCAGCGTACAACCAGAATTCGAATGAGGGTTGCCGCGACAGATTCGGTCCAGGGGAGGCATTCGTCGAACCGATGCCGGGAGGACCGCATTGACCCGCCGGTCAGAGAGACCCGTAGAAACATATGTCCCGCTGGCCGGAGAAGTAGAGGACGCATACGCTCTGTGGGAGTGTAAGCTCTACAGGGAGGCGCGTAGGGAACATCTGGACAGTGTGAAGGTGCTCGAGGTTGGGCCGGTCTACTATTGCGTCGTTGTGGGATCAGAGGCGAACTTCAGGCAGCTGCGGAATTTCGCGCGTAGATGGCACAGGATTCGAAGTGGACTCGAGAGGTGAAGAATGAAGACCCGAGGCGAAGAAAGAAGAGGACCGTACAATTTGTAGCCAGCGGTACCACTTCAGAGTTGGCACGGGACGGTTGAGATAGCGACGAACGCGTTTCGTGTACGTCCGCCCCAGAATGGGTAGAGGGACCATAGGGACAAAGGAGATAGATAAAGAATAATTTGTAGGGAGTCAAGAACGAAGAAACAAAGCTCCCTAATTTGCCCGATCCTGTCGCGGCATCATGGCTGTCCCTAAAACAAAGTTTGGACGTACAGCGGTGCACAACCCCACGCCTTTAACGCTGTTTGAGCTCGAGTTCTGCAACATATGCAGACTCCACTCTAACCTCAACGCTGTCCACCACCATCTTGTGACAGCACGACCAGCATTGTTGATCTCGACGGAGACAAACACTTCCGCCTGCTAACACTTGTTTCTAGTATTTTTTTTAGCTCTTTGTCTTATATGTCTATGTTATTTTATGCAAGTGCAGCTCAGTCTATTCTCTATATCTATAACCCTACCTCAGCGGGCAGCACATATCTACACAGGAACACGTAGCAGTCACAGCTATAGAACACGCCCAGCTCGTTCTCCGGTAGCCGTACGAAGTGTCTTCCTTCTAGAACGAACGCCTCCATGGCCTCCAGGTCTTCGTTCCACTCGTCCGCCAGGTTTTTCTCCTCGGACGCCTGCATCGGCGGCTGACGAGGCGTGAATAACGCTGTCAGATCCGCCCTAAATTATATAATTTTAATTTTAATTTCTTTATTTACTAACACTACCTAAGAAACTTTTTTAACACTAATATATATATTCTATTTATAAATATGTAGTAATATTAAGAATGTAACCTGAAATAAATGATTATTATTATTAAGAAATCATTCATCATGACGACCTTCGTGGCCGAGTGGTATGTACGCCGAGTTTCAAGGTGTCACAGGTCTCGGGTTCGAATTCCAGTTAGAAAAATGTTAGTATGATGAATACGAGCATTAGTACATAAGTCGTATATGTTTATAAATATTTTTATTTTTAAGCATTCCACTACTAGATATTTAAACTAAAGAAAATTTTGCTAGAAACGCGCTGATGCTGCCTTGCAGCTTAAGAACTACTAGAAGAATTTCGTTTCGGCCATTAAGGTCGAGGTGGTATAATTGGTCAGAGCATCTGCCTGATTAGCGGAAGGTGCGGGCAAGTCCATCTGCTGCCTGCACCGTCTGGAATTTATGCTAGTAAAAATATTGTTTATGAGCATTTAATCTTACTTGGTCTCCTGCTGTTTGGCCCAGCTGGCGAGGTCAGCGCCGGTGCGCGCCACAGACTCCGCGGTGCGAGTGAAGTCTACGGCGATCACTTCGTCCCAACCCAAGAAGTATGTCTTGAATATCTAGAAATATTCAATTATGTTTACTAACACGACCGCAATAATTCAAAATATACAATGCTACCGTTACTGTAACGCGGAGCAAATAGAAAGAGATGTTGTATAGGAATTTGTTTTACGAAAACAAATGAAGCCATTAAAAGGGGTGCGAGGAGCATTTTGGTATGCCAACAGCGCTATCATAAACCCTAGTAGCCTCCGACGACCTTGATGACCTCCGTGGCCGAGTGGTTTGTACGCCGGGTTTCATGGTGTCGTCGACTCGAGAGGTTCGAATCCCGGTGAGGGCAGATGTTAGTGTGATGAATACGAGCATTCGCACTCAGGTCATGGATGTTTAATTTGTATTTCTATATAAATATACTTATATATGTATTCTATCCGTTACCCTAGTATCCCATAACATAAGCCTTATAAGTGCTTACTTTGGGGCTAGGCTAATTGGTGTGAGTGTTGGAAATATTTATTTATTTATTAGTAGCAAGTAGGAGACGCCACACAAATATGGTTAAATGATAACAGCGCCTCTGGTTCTAAAATATATAGGTAACGAGTCCCGTCAGTGCAACATTAGTAGAAGCTCTGCAATATTAAGTACAGCAGCTCCTCTTTGCTCTTGTTTCGATATTGAAGTCAACGATATCAAATACCCTAAATACAACATCACGAACAAAATCCTAGGCGAAACCTTTCCAAAAGGTACATTGAACGATCCACGGAGCTCCGTGGGATGATCGCGCAGCCAAAAATAATATAAGGCAGTTAGAACAACATTAGCTTCAAATGAGTTAAATTAATAAATATTGATTTAATACCTGTAGAAAAACCTCACTATGTACTATAATTCTTTCTTCGCATATTTTTAAAGGGCTGTGCGTGATCTTGACTTATCAACGACCCGCGCGTGACTGTGAATCAAGAAGCACTTGAGTGGCGTTCAAGCACTTCTTGATTGGGACACATTTTGAGCGCTCGTGGTGTATCTAGGGTTTTTATTTTGTTGATTGAAATATACAGGGTGAATTTTTAAACACCAACAACCTCTTAGGAGCTGATTCTACCCATCAACAGGAACAACTTTTATTATGGGACCAACTCAAAAATTGCGAAAATAAAACAGCTGTTTCATACATTTCTGTCGATTAGCTGATGCACTTTTGTATGAAACAGCAGATGTTTTTTTCGTGATTTCAGCGTTGGTCCTATAATAAAAGTTGATCCTGTTGATGGGTAAAATCACTCCCTAAGAGGTTGTTGGCGTTTTAAAATTAACCCTATATAATCGTATAGTGACACTGACTTGTGTTTCCGTGCCCTCTTGCAGCCTGGTGACGAGCGCGTGCGGCGGTCGCGCGACCATGTTGAACAGTTCCTGGGCCAGTTTCACGGCGGCCGCACGCACTAACCGGGAAGATTTCTTACCGAACCTGCCGTCATAACGAATGCGATTATACATTATAAATATAACGGATTAAAACCTATATACAGGGAGGGAAAGTATATTAAATATTGAAGATAGGATATTTTACTGAAAGAAGACATCATTTTATTTTCAATAATTATAAGAACTGCATTCACAGATTTTAAAAAAATCGCCTGCTACAACTGGGATTCAAACTCGTGAAATTTCGAAAAAAAAAACACCACATATTTAAAGATAACCATCGAAAGGGTAAATCATAAGTATTACTTTTTGCTAAATAACATAGCATGTTAAATAATTGAAAAGTAATTTAATTTAACATTTTATTTAAAATTATTTAACAAAGTAATATAAAATCAGATATGCCTCAACAAGTTAACATGTTTAGTTCATCATCGTTGACGTTTATTATCCGCTGCTGTGGTTTCTGTAAGCACATATCAAAACGTCCCAAGTTTCTAACCTTTTAAACACATATCGAGAAGGTACGGTTCTATCAGGGTATCTTTCCCGGTACCGCCGCACTATGGGAACTTTGACTCATTTTCATCTCAAAAATCTATAACTCCTGTGTTAATAAAGATATCATCATGATTTTTTTTTCTGATAATCTTGAATATATTTGCTTTTAAATAATGTATAATTTGTGTATAAAAGTTTATTTATAATACTTACAAAAAATAGGACAACAAAAACTGTCCGATACGTATTGTCGCATCATTTGCTATGCAAGTTTTAGTCTTAATAAAATCATTATAGAGGAAACACGTGTTATCAATTCGCAATCACCTGATAAAGAAATCTCAACCTTATGTCCAAGACATAGTGGCCAAAACGAGCCGGATTACGACGTAGTAAACAACTGCAGCGGCCGGTCGGGCGAATACAATAGATGAATAGACGGCCTTTTGTGTGATTTTTTTACGTACTGGTTCGATGCAGTTTTTTCTATATGAAGTTTACATTAATGCAAATATAAGTGAACGTTGAGTGAGTGCATTCTTGAATATTAGTGAGTTTTACAACCGATAATAAACTACATAAAGATGACAACGCCGACTGCGGAACAAAGTACGTATATGAATACATTGGAAGACATAGCTAGTATGCTACAAAAGGCACAAATAAATATCAAAAAATGCCCTAAACAAAGATTAACTGTTGGTTATATAAAAACAAGATTAAAAATTATAGAAGATTATTGGAGCGAATTTAAACAAACGCATGACAAACTTATCAGGTGTACGCCGCGTGAACAAAGGGGAATGATGCCATATTTTCTTCGCGAAGAATATTATACATACGAAGATTTATACATATCCCTTCAAGCTGATTTGACTGATTTATTGATATCATTAGAAAGACCAACTAAAAGGAGTGAAGACAATTCCAGTATATCTAATTCAAATGTATCACAAGATGGTCAGTTTTCGCTCGCTAGATTGCCAAGAATACAATTACCTACCTTCTCGGGGAGATATGAAGATTGGCCTACATATCAAGATTTATTCACGGCGCTTGTTCACAACACTTCTATTAGTAATGTACAAAAATTGCATTATTTGAAAACAAGCATTTCTGGAGAAGCTGAGATGTTATTACGACATATTCAAATAACGGAGGATAATTATACTCAAGCGTGGCAATTGCTTAAAGGGCGTTTCGGCAGTAAGAAAATGATTGTGAATTCAGTTATGAAAAAAATATTCAATCAGAAAAAAGTGAATAATCTTTCGGCCAGTCAAATCAAATCATTAGTTGATACAACAACAGAGTGCATTAATAGTTTGAATAATTTAAAAATATGTACAGACTCTTGGGATCCGGTAATCATATTTCTAGTTGGACAAAGATTGGACTCGGAGTCGTTAAAGGACTGGGAAGAACATGCTTACAAGAAAAGTGATGAAATGCCAACATGGAGTGAATTGAAACAATTTCTTGAAACAAAGTTCCGTACCCTTGAGTTAATATCTTCTATGGCAACTACTTCAACAAGGGATAAGTCTCAAGTTTCCAGGTCGTTTCACGTCTTGACAACCAATGAAGAAGAAGACGATAGTTTGCAAATATCCGTTAATGCTAATTTTAATTCACAACATTTGTGTACATATTGTAAGGGTAATCACTATATTTTTAACTGTAAAGAGTTCGGAAAATTAACATTAGAACAAAGACATGATCATGTTAGAAAAAACCGTTTGTGCTTTAATTGTTTGATACCTAACCATAATGTATATAAATGTAAACAAAGGAAGACATGTCGCATTTGTGGAAGAAAACATCACTCACTGTTACATGAAGAAAGAGGAATAAAACAAGAAGGTGAAAAACTGGAAGATAAGACTAACACTGAAAGGGAGATACAAATACAACCAGAACAAAGGATAACAACAGCACATTTTTCAAAGGAACAATTTGGTCATGAAGTTTTATTGGCAACAGCACAAGTACGTGTCAAGTCAAACAATGGTGAGACATATATACTTCGTGCTCTTATTGACCAAGGGTCAGAGGCTTCATTTGTTTCTTCGAGAGTAGTCGATCTGCTAGGTCTGAAACGAAAAACCATTAGTGGTGAAGTCTCTGGGATAGGAGGAGAAAACCATAACAAAATAATGATAAAACACTTAGTTGATTTGTCAATTACATCACGATTTCATACTAATGTGACGATTGGAGTGCAAGCTTATGTATTGAAATCAATTGCTGCCAGGTTACCTTCTAAACATATCGTGGTAAATGGGACACAGCTTGAAACATTAAATTTAGCAGATGCTAATTATTATGTTCCAGGTAATATAGATATGCTACTTGGAGCGGACGTGTTCTGCAAGGTTATAGAAGATGGTTTGATAAAATTGTCGGAGGGAATAATAGCACAAAAAACCATTTTTGGGTGGATTCTTTCAGGTCAAAGGGAAGAAACAAAGACAAATGAACACAAATTAATCACATTACATGTAAGAAGGATGGTAGCAGAAGACAATGATTTATTAAGAAAATTTTGGGAAATAGAAACAGATTTATACAAAACGAAGAAGTGGCTAACTAAAGAGGAAGAAAAATGCGAAGAGATATACAAGGCTACAACTGAACGAGACGGCGAAGGAAGATATATTGTACATTTACCCTTGAAACAAACAATTCAAGAAACAATCAACATGTGTGGTGATACAAAACAGCAAGCAATCAAGAGATTTCAAAACCTGGAGAAAAAGTTTATAAATAATTCATCTTTCAAATCAGATTACACAAAGGTTATCCATGAATACAAAGAAATGGGACATATGAAGTTATCTGAAACAGTAGAGTCGGGTGAAGATAATAATTCAATTTACTTACCGCATCACGCAGTACTGCGCGAAGACAAGGAAACTAGCAAGCTGCGTGTTGTCTTTGATGCTTCCGCAAAAGGATCGAAAGGCCAATCCCTCAATGAGTCAATGTTAGTTGGACCAGTTTTACAACCGGATCTTCGTAGTTTGATAGTGAAATGGCGCACATACGAAATTTGTGTAGTTGGAGATATTGTCAAAATGTATAGGATGATTCTTATGAACAAGGAACACATGAATTTGCAAAAAATTGTTTGGCGAGATAACTCGGATGAAGTACTTGAAACTTATAATTTGACCACGGTTACTTTTGGTACAGCTGCAGCTCCTTTTTTGGCTGTACGGACTTTAAACCAGTTGGCTGACGATGAATCTCATGATTTTCCAGTTACAGCATCTTTAATGAAGGGGTCATTTTTCATGGACGATCTTATGATAGGAAACAATGAAGGAGTTGAAAAAACTAAGGTAATGTGCGGAGAAATAAAGGAAATATTGAAAAGAGGAGGATTTAAAATGCAAAAATGGTCAAGTAACTCAGAAGAAGTTTTACAATATTTACAAGGAGAAACAGATTCATGTGATACAATGGAAATAAAACTAAATAAGGTCATAAAAATTCTAGGACTAACGTGGGATAGAAAGGAGGACATATTTGTCACTACAGTTCATTTAACTGAAATGTCATATCCCATTACTAAAAGATCGGTTCTTTCAGATGTGGCTCGCCTATTTGATCCGTTCGGATGGCTGTCACCAGTAGTGATCCGAGCGAAAGTACTCATACAAAGACTGTGGTTGTGTAACTTGGGTTGGGATGATGAACTAACGCAAGAATTGTGTGAAGAGTGGGTAAACTTCAGGTTAGAATTGACACATCTGCAAAACATAAAGATTCCGCGATGGTTAAGAACTAATGAATATAAGAATAAAATTGTACAGCTACATGGTTTTGCAGATGCATCAACCCAAGCATATGCAGCAGTTACTTACCTACGGGTACTCGAAGATGATGGCACAGTGCACGTCACACAAATAGCGTCTCGTACAAAGGTTGCACCTTTGAAGCAAATATCAGTTCCTAAATTAGAACTATGTGGCGCAGCGTTGCTAGCAGAACTTGTAAGTGATCTAGTAGACATTCTAAATGTACCTAAATCCGAAGTATACGTATGGACTGATTCTACGGTTCTGTTATCATGGCTTCAATCACAGCCCAACCGTTGGCGAACATTTGTGGCTAACAGAGTCGCAGATATCATACGAGTTCTAGATAATGATCAATGGAGGCATGTTCATTCGAGTGAGAACCCTGCTGATATAGCCACAAGAGGGGTAAGGGCATGCGATTTGCCGACACAAAAACTTTGGTGGAGTGGACCCGAATGGTTACGCCAACGGGACTTACAATTTCACAGACGTGATATTCCAAAGACTGATTTAGAGTTACGAGTTTCGTTAAACTCAAATATAATAGAACATCCAATATGGGAAAGGTTTTCAACGTTATCTAGGATGAAGCGGATACTATCTTATTGTATAAGATGGATTGCAAAAAATAAACTAAGACGGCAAGAAATTTATATTACAGCGACTGAAATGGAAGACGTATTAAAAAGATGCATTAAATACTACCAGAGCTTAGTGTACGGAAAGGAAATAGAAG